TGGCACCAAGAGTCAAACTTGGGACCTTGCACTTGCCAGGCAGGCACTTTGCCGCTGAACTTCTGCAAAGACCTTCTCCAAACCACCTGGCTCCTAAACCCTGCTGGGAGCTGTCCAGGTGCTGACCTACTTGAGTGCAGTCTCCCTGGTCACCTTTAAACCTCCACTGCCAGAGATTCTTTTCTCCTTGCCTCTGATGTACTCTGGCCACCCAGTTTTTATTCAGTGTCAAAGCAGAGAGGTGTCTTCGTTTTGTAGATGGGCGCTGTCGGCCATGGCGCTGCTTAGAAGCAATAATCTAGTTACGAAGGGGAAAAAGCGAGTTAGCAGAGGCTGAACAGCTGGCATTAGGGGAGCAGAAAGGGCAGCATGGAGAATAGCCACTGGGGAAACAAGCCACTGCTCAGTGGCCTGGCAGGGACTTGGGCAGCTGTATGAATGTTGCCCAGGTTCACATGCAGCCGTGCAGAGAAGAGACAGCATGTTCTGTTGAAGAGCAGAAATCAGTTCTTCACCCACCCTTGGGACCTTGACAAGGGAGTTAGTGTAGTGATGAGGGAGCTAATAGAAGTGACAGACAAAGGAAGGACTGAGCGTGGAGTGGGGGACAGGCAGTGCCCCATGCAGTCCCCACTGTCCCTCCCAGAAAAACCAAGTCCAGGAAGAAAAAGGAAGCTCAGAGGCCTGAGTCCCTAGGCATAGAGCAGCAGTGGAGGCTGAGCATAGCCCCACCATCCAGGGTCCCAGCAACAGGGAGTATTATGTGGCGATCCAGCCTTCCTCTCAAGGAAGAAGGGGGACCCAGCCTCTTACTTCTTGCAGTCCAATATTCCTTGAGCCTCCTGGCCAGCCCCCCCAACTCTAACCCCCCACTTGCCCAGTCGTCTGGCAGTGTGGCTCTTGACAGCTCCAGGCTCCCCTACTGAGCTCAAGTCCCCAGTGGCCCAGCGCTCTGAAGATTTTAGCTGCTGTTTCCCCTCTCAGCACAGGCAGATGGGACCTGAACCAGCCCTTCTCCTTGAGCACTATAACCTGCCCACCTCCTCTTTAAGTCTCCCTTTCCCCATCCTCAAATAGGGAGTAATCATATGTTAGTTTACCAGGTTGGTGTGAGAACCAAACACATTCACACATGGAAGCACTGAGCACCTGTATTAACTGTAGTTGGTATTAATATCACCGTTACCAATGGACTCTCCATAGAGGCACTCCACAGGGACCTCAGCTCCTCTTCTTCTGCTCTTGCCCAGTTTTATCTGCCCTCTTTCTCCCATACTCCCTGAGGCTTCTTATTTTTTCCTCACTTCCCTCTCTCTCAAGCTACACACACACACACCCCTACCTGAATGCTCTCAGATCATGCCCACTTTAAACTTGACCTAAATCTGTGAAGCCTTGATTTCCTCCAAACTATACAAATCACCGGTCTGTTATCAATCATCCCACAGCAGTCATGACAACCCTGAGACCTGGGGTTGGCACTTCCCTCCCGTCCCCTCCCACACTGAGACTGCAGCCCATCTGCTTCTAGATGAGCATATCAGAGTGTTCTAGAAGTGTAGGAAAGGGGAGCAAGAAGGGAGAGCTGTGTCTGGTTATATTACAGTGTTTAGTGGTAATGAGCAGACCTTAGAATTGCAGCGGCTTTCAACAACAATCTTCCTTTTTCTTGCTCATGATGTGTGTCCATCAGAGGTGAGCAAAGAGGCTCCACTCCTCCCTTGTCATCGCATAGAAATCAGAGTGACAAAAGACACCCTGTCACTCTCTCCACAATCCCAAAGGTAGGGAGCCACGGGTGGCAAAGCTGCCACCCGGAGATGACACATACCAGCTCTACCCGCGAGGGGGCGGGAGGAGGCTGCCTGGCTGGGAGACCTTTCCTCCTCCTGAACAGAACTGGACTTTTCCCTCCATGTGTGCAGAGGGCACATTCTACAAAGCCAGATGTGTGTGTGTGTGTGTGTGTGTGTGTGTGTGTGCACGCACACACTTCTAATTAAAACCTAATGCAGGAAACCATCTGATTTGCTCAGATTGGTCCTGGATTCAGAGGAAGTGGGGGCTTTATGAAACTCCTCAGCCAATGGAGAGGGCATGAATTATTGACAGGATAGAAAAAGAGGCCCAGGGAGGAAAGGCTGCTCCATTATTCATCAGGCCTGGAGTCCCCAAGTCCCCAAGCACAGCTGCTGGCTTTTACACCTACAGCATTTTCCCATTATGTCTACAGCAAATGTTTCCAGGACCGGTGTTGGCAGCCTCCAAGCAGGGCTCCCGCCCACGCCTCTGCCACAACAGCCTGTCATCTGCCGCAGGCCCGGCTGCTGCTGAATTGCAGGCTGGATGTTGGTGCTGGATGCCCACCCACTTAGCCCTCCCTGGCTCCCTGCTTCAGGGCTCCAAGTCTGCAGTCCAAACCTTTGCAAAAAGCCAGAAAGAACAAGGCATGGTGGTGATGCATGCCTGTAATCCCAGCACTCTGTGAGTCAGAAGCAGGAACATTGCAAGTTTGAGCCTAGCTCAGGAAAATTAGCAAGACCCTGTCTCAAAACACAAAAAGACTGGGCATGAAACTCAATGTGATTCCCTCCCAGCCTGCCGCCTCCCCGTGACCCTCTACTCATCTTTCACAACCAGAGCCAGGCAAGAAAAGTAATTTCTGTTGAGCATCTACCACTACTTATCAGGTCTTTGCACAAATGATTGCACTTAAGTGTCACAGTAACCTGATAAGGTCAGGGTTCATACCAGCAGCTGCACATGTGTGGGATCTGCTGCAAAAATTAAAATGCAGCCTCTGATCAAAAATAATTAAGAATTTCAACATGGCAAAAGGACACCATTAAACCAGCACAGAGCCTGCCTAAGAGCAAGGTTCTACAAGTGACCATGAAGCCAGCCCTAGTGATAGAGAAGCAAACTAAAACTCAGAGAGGCTAAGTCACTTGTCTCAGGTGACACAGCTGGACAGGAACGGGACTATTCCATATAATCCATATCCCTTTTCTCTCAGCCATCCTTGGCTTGAAGTTTCCCCAACTTGGCAAGGCTAGAGAGGAGCCTGTGAGCTGCCCTGGGACTCACTTCCCTTCTATAATGCATCTCCCAAAGGGGGGCATGAAGGCCATCAAACTAGACTTCACATGGACATTGAGAACAAGGTCACACTGGTCACACAGAGGACCTGTCTGGGGAGAGAGTGGGCACTCAGCATCCTCAATCAGCTCTTGAGAATGGTGCATCTCCTGGCTGTTGTATCTAGTTTCATCTTTTCTACCACTGAACTAGCTCTGCCTATAGTTTTATTCAGTAGCTTTCTTCATGAAAGCTTTAGTCTTGGGGAAATTTATCCATCTCATAGTCATTCATCTGGCAAACACTAACTGTGCTCCTACTGTGTGTCAGCCATCTGCCTTTAAAAGCTCATAGCATAGTGGAGGACATGGATGATAAGCTCATCAATGCTATACTGCTGACAGCTGGACCAGATACTCCTGGTCCCAGAAAACAAAGGAGAAATTAATTCCTAGGTCAGAGGAAATAAATTAAATAAGATTTTTAAGGATGTACAAGAGTTTTCCAAATAGAGAAGAGGGCAAGAGAGATGGAATTCACACACTGAAAAGAGTCTGGCAGTGTTGGGGGTTGAGGGTTTGAGATATGTGAGCATTCAGGCCAGGTGAGAGATGTGGACACCTCTCGGGGGTTGCAGACTTTCTCCACCAGGGAATGTAGAGGCGGAGAGGAGCACCCCTGGTATAGGTGATGAAGGAGATATAAGGATTTTCTAGGCTGAAAATGCTATGCATAGAAACCAGGCATATCCCTTCCAAAACCCTTCAGTGATCCCAGTAGTATGTGTGGCCCCATTCACATGGAGTAATGTCCTCTCAGAGACACCCAGGTCAAAAGACCTTAGCAACATAGCTGCTGCCACACAGTTTGTAACAACTACGTTCACTATTGCTATCCATTATCTGGCAACCTATTTTCCCCCCAGACCTTTGCATGCTCCACAAAACTTTGGCCCTCCCATGGCCTGTAAGAGCTTCACAGATCTTCCAAGGGAAGCTCCAGGTTGGCCAAGCCTCCCTCCTGGAGGCACAGCCCTGCAGGGCACCCCATCTGAGGGCAAGCTGCCCTGTGGGAGGTGAAGGCTTGGTCAGTGTTGCACTGTGGAGTAGTGATGGTGGGTGGACAGGAAAGGCAGCCGGGCCAATCCTTGAGGTCCACCAGCCAGTCTAGCTGGACAGCACCTCACCTCCAGCTGCAGCTCTCACATTGGCCACTGACTAACCAATATTTTATAGAGAGCTTTTGCACATCCGGAGCCCAGAGAAAAAGGGAAACAGACAAACCCGCAGAAAGAAGAAATCTGACAGTGTTAGGTGTCTCTATTTATATATATATTTGCACTTTATAGTTTATATGGGCAGTTTGCTTCATGCGACAAGGGGAAAAGTCGTCCCGGGGTTTAAGAGCTCAGATCTCAGAGGTAGCCAGCTCTGAGCAGCAATCCTGGCTGTTTTCTCCAGGTACTTATTATCCTCAGACATGTCATTTCCTGCCTCTGGGCCTCGGTTTTCTATTCTGTGAAGGAGGTTGTCGTGAGAGTTAAATGACCTGCAACACACAAAGCTCTTCGGCCAGTTCCTAGCACAGAGTAAGTGCTCAGTAAACGCTAGCTGACTAAGCTGTCAGCTCACCATCATTTTCATTTAAAAAAAAAAACAAACAGTACAGTAGCAGAAGAAGCAGCTGGCTTTGGAAGGAAGTCCTCAGCCAAAACCTTAGCGGCCTCGACAGCCTCCAGCTCCCACAGCCAGCCCCCAGCTCTTCCCCGGCAGCCGCCACCAGGGCTCACCCCCAGCTCCAGCCGGGCTCACCTCTTGGCGAAGGCAGCGGCCGCGGGGTCCCAAAGCCGACTGCCGCAGGCAGCGCTGGGATCCGGGAAGCCCCGCCCCGGCCCCGCCCCCGGCCCGTCCTGGCCCCGCCCCGGCCCCGCCCCCGCTCCGCTTTCTCCGGGTCCCCAGCGCGAGCTGCAGCGGCGGCCGTGGTCACCCGCGCCGAGCATCTAGTGAGGATCGGACGAGGCGGGCTGCCCGGCAGCCTGCGCGACACCCTCCGCCCCGCGCGTCCAGCTGGCGACGGACACCAGAACCCAGGTCGGAGGTCGCGGCCGCTCCGGCGAGGTAAGAGCCCGCAAGACCCGGAGAGTCTGCTGTCCCCTCCTGTGGGACCGAGGAGCGGACGATCTCTCGCGGGGCCTGGGTCACTGCCCACGATGCCCCCAGCACCGCGTGGCTAGGGACAGGGACGCGTGCGTGGGTCCTAGAAGGGTCTGTGTGTGCGTGTGTGTGTGTGTGTGTGTGTGTGTGTGTGTGTGTGTGTGTGTGAGAGAGAGAGAGAGAGAGAGAGAGAGGTGCTGGAAGAAGGCGATGGCGCCCCCTCTTTGCAGACACTGTTGGGCAGTTTGCCCACCCCAGCCTCCCACAACGGGCTTGAGTGGAGCTGGCAGAAATGACACAAGAAATGCAGAAAGGGCAGGGCCGCCACCTGTTGAGCTGGGGTGTCCCTCTCTGCGTGTGGAGCTCTGGGCTTACCACCCTTTGCCAGGTGGCTTTCCCTCCCCAGCAGGTTGCATTCACCTTTGCGTCCCCAGGCCATCTGCCCAGGGCTGTCCGCTTGCTGGGGACTCCTCTGACCTGCTCCCAGGACCATATGGATGCCCCTAGTGAGTTGGCAGAAAGTGTCACAGCCCAGTGCCCCAAAGCAGAGATGGGACCTGCGGTGGGTGGGTAAGGGAGCCATGTGGAGACCCAGCAGCAGATACTGCACATAGATGGACACACAGCAAAACATTTCCACAGCCACCCCCAGACTCCTCATTTAAATTACATGCCCTCTGTGCCCTCATCCTGCTTCAGCAATTGCTGAAGATGCAGCTTGTTAAAAATTTTGAAGTGAAATTGAAGTATTGCCTCCTGGGACGGCAAGGGATTTGAAAGCTAATTCATCTAATTCCTGGCTGAGAAGCAAAAATACTTCTATTCCGACTGCTGAGCAGAGCCACGAGCTCCCCCTTGACCCCGCCAGGCACATCCATGACTCCTTTGACAGATGAGGGGCTCTCATTCAGAGAAGCGGAGGGATTCGCCCAGGTTGCACTGGATTAGTGCAACGGGGAGAGCAGGAAACAGGTCATCAGGGAACACAAGATGGGGCTCCCTCCCGGTCCCTCAACCAGTTCACCTAGCTACACCTTGGACTCGATGGATGAATGAATGAACCTGCTTGCCATAGTTGGGGGAGGGGAGCTTTGGCCTGCAGCTGATGTTCTGGTCTCAGGGCATCTCAGGACCACAGGCATCCTGGTGACAGGTCAGCTCCTCCTGCTACTCTCCTGTGTGCCTGAGAAGCCCTAGCTGTGTCTCCCTTCTTTGCTGAGATAGTGCTGGGAGTAGCTAAGGGACCCCGAGTTGCCTAATAGTGGAGAGATGTGCATGCGTGCTTAGGAAGGAGGTGGATTCAGTGGGCGGCTGTGCATGCTGAGGGCCACTGTGTCACCAGATGTCTCATGTGGCAGAAGACAGGGATGTGGCCCTGCCATGGATGTGGCTGTTGGCAATATGAGGCCCCCAGCATCTTGGCAGGTAACACCCTTGATCCCCTGGACACTGAGTCTGAGCTTCTTGACCTGGGGCTGGCGGTTTTGTGGAATGGTCAGTGACGATCCCCCGAATGGACCCAGGCCAAGTCACAGAATTACTTGAAAGTTCAGCGTCCTCACTGTGAAGCCAGCCAATGGGACCCGGTGAGAACAAAGGTCACAGATGACTGTCCGCTCCCAGGGAAGGTCCTGGACTGCTTGCTGATACTCTGCTTGTCCAGCCCTCAGCCTGACTCCTAGACATGGAGCTTAGAGAGGTGGGCCATGCAGCAAGGGGAGGCCCCAGGCATTCTCAAACCCAGTGTGGGGTGCATTTTATAGCAGATGGTTCACAGATTAAGCTCAAGAGTCCCAGAGTGCCAATGAAAGAGTTGTAACCCCTCTCTACGATGCCCTTCCTCTGGGGGGAGCTGGCACTTCTATCCCCAGGCTCATTTTCAAGAGGTGTGTCATCCCATCTTGGATCTGGGGCCACTTACACTCTCTGACAGAATTGAGGCCACGTGCATATGACTTTAGGATCCCCAGGAAAACCCTCGCCCATCAAGTATCACCCTCTCTTCCCAAACCTAGCTATTGGTATTAAGTCCATCATTAGAGGCTCAGCCCTTTGAGGCATGACCTTGTATCCACTTAGTTCAGCCCCTAAACCTTAGAGGAAAAAGACAGCATAGAAGACCCGAAGAAAGCAGAGAGAATTGAGGGTGCTGCAGGGAGAAGGGACTTTGCCAGCCTCAGCATTCTGCAGAGAAAGGCTCAGCTGCTAAGGCAAGGAGTCCTGGGGAGAAGGGGAAGGGGCAGGGGAAGGCGAGGCGGGGCTGACAGCAGGCAGGGAAAGTGAGGGCCCCAGAGGAAAGTGGAAGGCGGGGAAGCACAGTGCTGGGGCCACTGCTTTGGCAGTAAAGAAGGCCGTCCTCTCCCGCCTGCTCCCCCCCAGTGCATGGCAGCAAGGCAGGCATTGATGGGTTCTGTACAGAGGTGTTCTTTACATTTGGAGCCTGGGCTGCCACACTAGTTGCTTAAAACCATGCATGGCAATTTGTTAAGTCAGCAGAATGTGAAGTGTCCCCTGCCTGTGATGTGCTGGCCTCGGGGAGGTTGCAGTCCTTGAGCCTCCTGAACACCCTATATCCTTGATCCCTCTTATTCCCTTTTTCTAGAAAGAAGCAAAAACAGGGGCTCCTGGATTGAAGCTCGAGGGAGGCTGCAGGTGGCAGGGATCACCCTGAGTGGCTTGTGGTAATGCTTCCTTGCCCAGCTGGGCACGAGGTCCAGAGGGTTTCATTAAAAGGACAAGTGTTAGGTGCCAGGGCTGGGGCATCAGGCTCATTGTGGGAGGGGTGAACCAGCTTCTCTGGTCCTCAGCCAACTGACAGCAGGGACTGGTCCTGGCTCATGACATTCTGACAGTGAGCAGTTTGCATCTCCATCTGGGTGTTCCTTAGGGCAGACCTTGGTCCAGAGAGAGACGTGACAGGCCACCAGTATGACTTACTGCATCGGTGCCCAAGAAACAACCATTGTCAAGGACTGCCCTTGACCATGTCTGTTTTTAAGTAATAAAACGTGACAATAATGACAGCATCTCTTCCGTAAAAAGCATTTATTGAGCACCTGGTATGCATGTGCCAACTACTGATCTGAGACATAGGGCTGTGACTGTGGTACTATTTACATTTGGGACTGGCTTATTCTTTGATTTGATGGTGACCAGGCTGCCCTATACATTCTAGGATGCTCAGCAGTATCCCTAGTCTCTACCATGCTGTATACCAGTAGCACCCGCACTCAAACACACACACACACACACACACACACACACACACACACACAGACACACACACAAACACACACACACTCATACAACATACACACACGCAGTTGTGACCACCAAAAACGTCCCCAGACATTGCCAAATGTCTCCTAGGGAAGGAAACAGCCTGCTGTTGAGAACTACTTTGGATATGTGTATGCATAAAGAACAGGAAAAAAAATCCTGTTTCCTTAGGAGTAAAATTTTAAAGAGGGAGATGAACAATAAATACTCGAAAGACATAAAATATGGAGCCAGCTGCACAGTAAGAAAGCTAGAACAATATAGGAGGCTCAGACACAAGGAATGCAGGAGGGTTGGGAGGAGGCCTTCACCTCCAAAAGGGGGACCCAGGAGCGGCCTGGGGAGCTGGTGTCATTTCAGCAGAGGGGGAAGAGAGGGAACAAAGTGGGCAGAGAGCTGGGGAAGGACCTGCCATGCAGCAGCGTTGAGGAAGGAAAGTCAGAGAATGAGGAGGTAGCGCCGGTGCTGGGGGACGGAGTAGGCAGGTGGGACAGTAAACCCTGATGGCTGCGGACCCTGAGCTTCCCTCCAGGGAAGATGGCATCGTCGGTAAGCACCCACTACCTGCTAGATGTAGACAGCACCCCAAATGCTTTTCGCAAGCACATCTGCAGTGGTCCTACAAGGTCATTGTCATTTCGTTACACTTAATGGTTCAATAAGAGAAAAGCAAAGCCAAGAACAGTGAAGGAACTTGAGAGGTACAATCAGGACATGAACTTGGACAGTCCATGCTTTGTCTCATGGTCAGTGTGTACCGTGGAACCATGAGTTGCTGAGTTCCAATGCCAGCTCGGCTCCCTGCAAGCTCTGTGTGGCCTACCATGACTCCACAACTCTCCAAGCTGCTGTGAGCCTGGTGCAGTGATCCATCTTGTAGGGGCTGCCGGGAGGGAGGCATTTGCCCCTGCACTACAGGCCAGTTCATGGCACACATGTGTGCTGTGGGCTCTCATCTGGCATCTGCACATCTGCTTCTGGAACCGCAGCAGCACCAGATGGTGAGGTCAAGGTCGGTATCCCGGGAGGTCAGGGAAGATAATGCGCACTCAGCTAAGGGGCAGCCACCCATCCTGTGTCCTTGGGCTCCAGGGCTGGCCTGTGGCCTTGCGCTAGTGAGGCCAGCCTGCTTCTCCTGGGAGCAAAAGCACAGTCAAACTGAAAGGTCCTTATGTGCCCAGGCCCCTGAAATTGGCTTCTTCATTTCTAATGCTTTGTCACTCCAGGTCTCCTAAACCTCGAAGTCAGGGTGGCTTGGTTAACCCACGGGCAAGTTCTCACTGTCCAGGTGGCACATGGGGCAGAGGCGGAAATATCCCAGAGAGCCAGGAAAAGAGGGGTGGCTGCTGGAAGCCGACAGTAACCCCCGATAGTGCTCACCACTGAACCCCTCTCCCTGTGTGGCGCTGTTGTCCCTGAGGATGGTCTGCAATGAAAGGAGGCCCAGGGAGGACATTTCCAGGCCTGCCAGGCACTCAGGTGTATGGTGTGTGCTCTAGAAACCTCGAGGGCCTGCTCAGGTGGGGCGCGGCCTGTACAGAAGCGTCTGTGCCTGTCTGAGTCCTGCATAGGTTGCACTAGGGGCTTGTGTGCTCCATGGTTTCTGAGGAATGTGGGGTGGCCCTGCAGTCTGACTTTGCTGGCAAACTCTGTCCAGGAGAATGTCCCCAAACCCCTACTGTCAC